TGGCAAGTACCCTACCTGCTTTCTGTTTGTTTCCCTGGGGCACATCCAGCAGTGGGAAATGCTCTAACTTACCTACTATATGATCTCTCTGCCCCATATCTACTTACATCATTGGTGCCAGTTCAGTTCATTAGATATAAGTACCTATTTTGCCAAATCTGCAACTTTAATTTGTATCATATTTAAAACATTTGGTGATAGTTACCCATAATTCTTATGACTCAAGAAGGCAGGTTTTCATTACAAGATTATACTTGTTACAAAGAGTGCTATGACTAAGACCAAGACTTATACTTAAATGGGTTATGGTTATGGGCAAGTCATTTACATCTTATCCCTCAGAATTATTACTATTCTTCTTATTATTATTGAAGGGGTTTGGGGCTACACCCATCAGTATGAACTCTAAAATCACCAGTTTCATTCATTATTATTTTTTCAATGGTTTAAAAATGGGATTTTTAGGCTAGAAGGATAGCTCAATGGGCTCTAGTGCATGCTTTGCATACTAAGGGCTGGATTCAATCTGATATTGCATGATCATATTGGGGTGACCCCCCAGGAAAGACCTCTGAGCACTGCCCAGTGTGATGACAAAACCAAAGAATTCAACAAAAAAATGCAAACATTTTCACTTTCTCCCAAGAAGGTCTTCAGCCATAACTTAGAGGATGAAAAATACAGCATCACCCTTTCAAACAGATCTAACTGGAAGTGGCATTCTCTAGCATTTGCGCATAAAGACTTCATGTGCACACCGCAGATTACATCTGCAGAAATGTTTCCCAGGGTAAAGAAAGGTGGTGTAGCTGTTTGACAGAACTGGACACTTTGAAGGTCCTCTCTGGCTGCCTTCCTCTTTATCATCAGGGTGGAGCCTGTCATTGCAGCCCATCCATCCCCGATTATCTCCAACCCTCCCCACGACTCCTGCCCAGCCAACAGATAGAGTCAAGTGAATGCCTTCTCCCTGCTGTTAATGAATCATGTGACCTCCTGCTGTCACCCTGCTGTCCTGGACAGCCCTTCCTCCTCCTAAAACTTGCCTGTGTTCAAGGCTCCTTCTTGTGCCGTGCCACCTCCTTCTGAAGCTTAATCTCTACTGCCTTTCAGCTTGCAGGGCAAGCTACTTTATCTACTCCGCTGACATTCACTTTCAACCTTGCACGACATTCATTTATAAACTTGCTTTATCTCAGTTACTGGCTTCTCAGCTTCTTGGTAGCACCATCCCTTATCCTTATCAAGTCTAAAATGCCTAGTCTGGTGCGTTTTATAAAGCAAAACCTTCATAAATTTATAGACTCCTTTCAACCCTCCCTCATGGGTAGTTTCACAGTCCTTTTACTTGGCTGTAGTTTGGAAGGGCTTGATTTATTTACATTTTTACGAAGGTGGTTTGATATGATTTCTCTTGAGGTGACCTGGAGACTTAAAAATCCACATTTTCCTGTATGTTTAGTTGGGTTTCCAGCACAGATTCAACATCATAGTTTTTCAAGGAAATGAAGAGAATTCCTCCTACGACAGGTCTGTCTGCCTGTTAGTCTGACAGGTTATGTATTTCACTTTAAAGAAGATAAGTAGTGCTTTGTCTAGCTATGAATGGAACAGACTGTGTTAAATAAATGGTCTTTATAAAGTATTCAGCACTGGTGATGACCAAATGAAATTTCAAGGCGATATCACCTCATATCAGTGAGAATGGCATAGATCAGAAACACTGGAAACAACCAGGGTTGGCTGAAATGTAATGAAAAAGAAACCCTCATTCATTGTTGGTGGAATGCTACCTGGCTCAGCTTCTCTGGAAAATAATATAGAGACTTCTCAAAAAAATAAAGTAAGAATTACCATGTGACTCGGTGATTTCGATACTTGGCATCTACCCCATGAACACTGTGATTAATATGGAGAGAAATATCCACTGACCATTGCAGGAATAATTATCATTGCAATGATAATACAATAATAAGGCTTGGACAATCTCAAGTGCTCAGCAACAGATGAGTGAATAAAGAAATTGTGAGATATATGCACAGTGGAGTACTACTTAGCCATAAGGAAAGATGGACTTTGACCTTTGGCGACAACGTGGTGTGTGTGTGTGTGTGTGTGTGTGAGAGAGAGAGAGAGAGAGAGAGAGAGAGAGAGATGGCTATATTAAAGAAAATATGTTCGGGGGGTGGCACATACCAGATGTTCTCTCTCATGTGTAGAATATAAAGAAAACGAGGTCAGTGAATGGGGCAGTATCCAATGTTAACAAATCCTTAGCTTTGATTACAGAATGAAGGCTACCAAGTGGTGAGGATTGTGTGCTGGGGAAGGAGCAAGTGGACTTGAAATGACACGAGGTCAGCAGGGGAGGGGCGGGTGTACTTTGGTGGCAGTGGAGGTGCCAACTGACACATGTGAGAAGCAGAGCTGAACAGAGTTTGTTCTCTTTCTGGTTTCAATCAAGTGTCTCTGGGGATTTCGGTGGTACTGTCACTTATTTTAAATGTGAAAGTGGTGTCAGAGAGATAGTACAGGGGATAAGGCTCTTGACTTGCATGCAGCTAACCCGATGTCCAATTTCCCCCATCACAAATGGTACCCAAGCCTTTGTGCATGATCTCTGAACACAGAACCTGGAGTAAGCCCTGAGCACTGCCAGGTGTGGCCCTCAAATAGACCAACTAGTGGAAAGCAAATCTTTGTGCCTTCGGTGCATATTGCTTTTTCTCTGTGCCAGAATAGCTTGACTGTGGTAGACAGTAACGGACCACCAATGGACAGCTGATATCTTGTCCCTTGAAGGGAGGAAGGGGGAAAGTGGGACTGTGGCACTAAGGTGCCCTGGAGTGAAGTGCTCTTTGAAAGGTAGGGATTGTTTGTGTAGCAAGGGGAAGCCCTGGAAACAGTATATTGGAACCCAGAGGAAGAAGGGCAATTAGAGTCAAGGGTTCCCTCCCTCTTTCTCACTGACAAGCTTCCAGGCAGTCAGAAACACCTCCCATGTGGCTTTACACCTGGAACCAGTGTGCAAAGCACCAGGCCTCTGACCAGAGAAATGCTACTGCCACCATGAGTGGTTCCATTTGCAAAATACAGGCTATAGGGTGTGTGCCAGGAACCTCATACCACAGTTACTCAAGCTCACTTGGAAGTTCATTGTCCTCTATGTCCAGTCATGTCTGGGGCAACGGAAGTCCTTCCCCTTCCCTGTCACTGTCTTCAGTAATTAAGAGACAGCATTTAAAATATATCTAAGTAACCAGTGAGCATCTATTTCATAGAGCACACAGCAGTTTTAACTGTTTGCACCTACAAGCAGTAAAAGCTGGTATTTTGTTTCTTGGGTTTGGGGCCCACATCAGTGCAATAGTGGCACTGTGCTCAAGGGTGGGGTGGGGTGATCCTGACGCAGTGCTCCCACCAGACCAGGCCTCCTGCACGCAAATCACACACCTGGCCAGTCGGGATGTCTACCTTTTATATCCCTTTGGATTTTGGGCCACCCTCCCTCGGTGCTTGGGGCCTCTGTACTGCCGGGGATTGAACTCAGGTTGTGCTGTCTCTCCCCGTTGTTTTTAGGTTTGAGAACTGAGGCAGGCTTCTGCGATGGTGACTATATCTGCGTCCTCTCTTTACCGGACTACGTGATTCCTTAGGGGTCACACACAGCAGAGCCGGATTTTGAAGAAGTTTTCTGGCCACGGCTGTTCTTTGTCGGCAGGAGAGACTTAAGTACTCAGCGATCATCTTTCTTCTCTTTTTACTTATTTTTGGGGCGCACTCATTGATGCAGAGGTGTCACTCCTGACAGTGCTCAGGGGACCCTAAGTGGTGCCGGGAATTGAACCCGGGTCTACTACACGCAAGGCAGGCGCCTTAATCTCTGAATACCGACCACTTTCCTATCTCTTTTTTTTTTTAAATGTCTGAGCAACGCGCTCCCGTCAGCTCCAGAAGCGACCAGGGAGGTTGGCGATGCCGCGTGAATTAAATGCAGCATCTGAGCCACCGGATGAAAGTGAAAACAAACTATCAGAGCCCTTACCCGCGGGGACACAGACGGATGCGACGCGGGCGAGCAGGCGAATCGCCTCTCAAAGCTGCGGGTGTGCGCTGCGCACAGCCTGCGCGGCCCTGGGACGCCGGGAGGTGCGCCCCGCCGCGCCGTGTCCGCCGGGCCCCTCGGGCGGGACAGGGGAGCGACTCCGTCTCCATAAGAGGGCAGCGGGCGCCACGGAGAGTCCCAAGACAGGCGAGCCAGCGTCTGGCTCCTCTGCGCGCTCCGCGCCTGTTACCCGCCAAGCCCGGTCCTTGCAGTGTCCCGGCTAGGTCAGTACGGTGCGCACAGCGCCCCATCCCTGCTCGGAGCTTGTCTTTGCTCGCGGGTCCCTGCCCAGCGCTCCGTCTCAGCCCGTCCCAGCCCAGTCCCTACCCTGCGCCCCGTCCCAGCCCCGCGCCCCATCCCAGTCCCATCCCTACTCTGCGTCGGGTCTCTGCCCCGGGTCCTTGCCTCGCGCCCCGTTCCAGCCCCGTCTCTACCCTGCGCCCAGTCCTGCCCCGCGTCCCCGACCGCCGCAGCGCATCCTCGGAGCTCGGGCGCGGGGTGCGGCCAGCCGGGGCGCGCACTGCGGGGGCGCAGCGGGGCTGGGGCTCGCAGCCGCGGGGGCCGAGCGGTCAGTGCGGCCGCGCCCCGCCCGGGCCGGAGGGAGGAGTCGGCCGCGCAGCTCCGGGCCCGGCAGCGCCAGCAGCTTCACCCCGCCGGCCACCCGCTCCGTACCCCGCGCCCCGCGCCTACCCGCCCCGCCTCGCGCCGGGAGCGGAGCAGAGCCTCGGGGTGTTGGGGTGCCCCTCGCACCCGGCCGGAGGCGCTTTTCCCAGGCGCGGCCACCTGGAGAAGCGCCGACACCCGTTTCCGCCGCTGCCGGGGGCCGCGTCCCCAGCCCCGCGCCCCCTCGCGTGCGTCCGGCCGCGCCGCAGGCGGTGGAGCGGGCGGGGACGCGGCGGTGGCGACACCTCCTTCCTTCTCCGGCTCGCAGCTGGTGGCGGCGAGCGACTCCCGACAGAGAGCAAAGCCGCATTGGAGGCGCGGGCTCAGGACCCTCCTCCGGGCCCGCACCCCGCCCCCGCGCCCGCCCCCGCCGCGCCCCCGCGCCCCGTCTCCGCGCCCGCCCGGAGCCCGACCCGGACTGCGAGCGGCGGCGCGGACCTGCCGGCGCCCGGGACGCCTCCAGGCGACGATGCGCGGCTCGTGCGGCGTCGGGGCTCGGACCGCGGCGACCTGCTGCGTCCTGCTGCTGCTCAGTTTCTCCGGGGTGCCGGTGTCCCTGGCGTCTTCCTTCCTGACAGGTAGGCAGGGCTGGAGCAACTCCCCGGGCCCCGGTACCTGGGAGGAGGCGCGGCGGGGCCGGGGGCACAGCTAGGGAGCACCTGGGGCCGGGGGTCCGTAGTGTCCCGGGTATCCCGGGTATCCTGGCTGCGGGCTGCGCGGTGGTGATTGAGCGCCGGGCGGGCGGTGGGGACCCCAGACACTAATGTGGAGATCCTAGTTGGATTGTACAAATCCCCTGATTTATTTTTAATGTCTTCCCCCAACCTTGCTCTAATCTTGCCTCCTCCTTGCAAATTGACGGGGAAGAAATGCATCCTTTTGGGAGCACGCTCTTCTCTCGCTCTTTCCTCTACCTTTCGCGCCGGGAGTGTGCTTTTTAAAAATGCACCCGCGGCTGCCCTCCAGATCTAGCATTTAAATAGATTATCATATGTTAAAAGGGCAATAGTGGCGAGATATCATAATGATATGTTGTCAGGCAGGTGAAGACCTCAGCTGCTGTTTTGAAGGACAGGCTTTACTGACACCTGGTGCAAAAAGGAAATATTGAGTCCGTCCGTAAGAGCAAAGACGCTTGTGTTTAAAAAGTGATTTCCACCCGCCACTAAGTGAGGTTCATGCCTATAGAGGCCTGTTCATCAGGACAGTCCTGAACCTCCGATTCAGACTCTCATCTAAGATCAGCCAGAGTGACCGACTTCAATATTTTACGCGTGGTTGTGTGTTTAACTAAAACACCTTCTTAAAAGAAGAGTATTCATCAAATCATTGGAGAGCAGAAAATATATCTCCATCAGAGTCCTAAGAATACAATTACCTAATTTTCTTTTTTTTTTCTGGGGGGGGGGGGCAGTTTGACTCGGTGAGTTAGAAATTTTAAAGCTCATTAAGTATTTCTAAAATTTGGGTCATTGCTGCTGAAAGGATGGTCAGCAAAAACAAACTTTGTGATCATGCCAGTGAGTTAAGTTTCAATTCAAACTTTGATTCCTGACTTCAGGTTCTGTCGCAAAATGTGAAAATGAAGGTGAAGTTCTCCAGATTCCCTTTATCACCGACAACCCTTGTATAATGTGCGTCTGCTTGGTGAGTGTTGCCCATCTGATCTGTGGGGTCCATCGCGGTTCAGGCAAGGTGAATCCCTTAAGTGTGATCATATGAACAGGCCTCAAGGATTACCATCAGTCAATACAAAACTGCACACACCTCCCAAGTACAGTTATGTGAATCCAATGGGTGAGATGACATTCAGGTCTAAAGATCAGGGACAAGGGGAAAGAGAAAGAGAGGGGAAGGCCCAGTGGTGAGGACTAACCAAGATAACAAGAAGTGATCTTGAATTTCTTTGCTGGTTATAAACTCCGCTCTCAGAAGCAGTCTTCAGCCTTCTGACTTGGAAGCAGAATTTAGAAAGGAACTGGGCCATAGGCTCCATTGTTAATGCTAGTGGTGGCTACTCAGTTTCAAAAAATAACGTGTCTTGATTTATTCTAGTTCAGTAATTAATAATAAGATCCCCAAAGTAATATATGGGGCAGGTTAAGTTAAAAGAATAAGAATTTCTGGGTTGAAAATTAAGCCCAAGGGTGTGTTATGTGTTAGTCACCTTTGTCAGCCCTTGAGTCAATGCTTCGCCTACCCAAGCCCTGATGGAAATATAGGAAAACGGTAACCCGCAAAGACCTGAGCGAGAGATTGTTATGCAGTCAGCTTCCTCCATGGAGCTGGTGAAGGAGTCACCTCTGTTTAGGTGAAAGCCAAGCCATCTGGGTTTAAGCTACCCAGATGTTCACAACAAGAGATGAGGTAAATATTGCAAAATGATAAATGAGTGAAGGTGAACGTTTGCATTAATGATGATCAGCTTCTGAAGACCAAGACGGCTGCAGGAACAGACATAAAATTCTTTAGATGGGGAGATAACTCAAAGGACTGAGCTAGTTCTTTGCATGTGGGGGGCTCCAAGACCATTGGATGACATTGCACGGTCCCCTGAGAACCTCTTCTGATGGCCCAGGAGCCCTCCAGAAATGTATTGGGTTTTCCGTATTGCTGCTCCAAAAAAGAAAGCTGAGTGGAGTGCTCTATTTTGTCTTCGTGTTGCTGTTATAAATAATGCTTTTTTTTTTTTTATTAGAAGGGCCATTGAGAAAAGTTTTGGGTTTTAGTTTGGAGTCTTTTATTTATAAATGTAGTGTATTTGTATGTCTATTTTTTTTCTTTTTTGTCTTTTGGGCCACACCCAGCGATGCTCAGAACTGGTGAGCATTGCTGGAAGTTAATCTTTACATAGGACAAACCTGAGGAGGGTTCCTCCTTTAATTAGCAGATGAGAGACTGAGAGTCCCACATTTGAGTATCTTGGGAGTGTCTCCCTTGGTCAACAGCAAAGCTGAATGGACTCCAGAGTGCATGCCTGCAACTCTAGACAAAAACAGGCTTTTTGTCTAGAGATACCAAAAAGCAAAGAAAACAGAAAGATGGTCCAGTATTCAAATATTTGTCACTGCTTGGGTTACTTTTTTTTTCCCCTTCCCTTTGAATCTTTACAAAGCTGAGTTAGCTAACATTTGCTAATCACATTATATGAAAGGAAAATCCCGTTATTTCATTTGACCTGCAGGGAGCTTTAGTTGTGAGCTAGTTTTGTGTATGTACAGTGAAAGGGTATGTAATAGTCCTCAGTCAGGACTTTGCAAAAAGAAAATATCTAAAAATATTTAGATGGTGTCGGTCCAGTCTTTTGGTAGAAAGGTACCAAAGGCTGAGTCTAAGTTGGTGTCTTATTTCCTAACATATGTTGAAAAAAGAAAAAAAATAGCTAACCTCAACATATGCTAAAAAAGACATGAACTGTTTCAGTTAGGAAAGAACATCGCTTAGGGTTCGGCAAATGATTACAGAATTAAAACCCCTCAAAATCAACTTGACCTGGTTTTTAAGCCTTTGAGTTCAGAAATGTTTCAAAGGTGCAGTGAGCTCATTTCTATGGGAATTTTGAGGATGACAGTGGGCGTAATGGCCACGGCAAACAGACCTGAATAATTTTATCCTCATTTATCCTCATCTGCATAGACCTGAGCGTGTTGCCAGAACCAGCTGTGGTCCAAGAAAAACTTGTGTGTTAGCTGGTGATGGATCTTGTTTAAAAGGTGTGTGTGTGTGTGTGTGTGTGTGTGTGTGTGTGTGTGTGTGTGTGAGGGTCAGGGTGTTGCTGGGAGACAAAAAGTTTTTCAGTTCCTTGATTCCAGAGAGGCAATGGAAAGTGGGACCTTGGTGCTAAAATTTGGGGAGGGCGAGCAATTGAGTTTGCACTGCTTGGTTGGTTTGGTTTTAGTTTGGGGGCCATACCTGGCAATTCTCAGGACTGACACTTGGCTCTGTATTTAGGGCTCACTCCTGGCAGGGCTCTGAGAACCAAATGGGGTTCTCTGGATGGACCAGGTCTGCTGTGTGCAAGGCAAGTGCCCTACCCACTATACTATCTCTCTGACCCTGCAGTGCTCTATTTTTATTTTAGTTTTCAGTTTGGGGCCACTGCTGGTGTTGTCACAGTGTCCAAGCAAGAGCCTGGCAAGAGCAAAGTGGGGCTTCACCCATTTTAAAGAATGTTCTCAGGGAGCAGAACCAGGCATTATCTACCCCAATCATGCTGGAAATCCTTCTTCCTGTCTCTCTTAACACTTAAGGGAGAAAAGCTTCCGGGTGCCTCTAGTGACTCTGATGGAGCCAGCAACAGCCCCAGAGAATGGAGTGGAAGCAATTGTTGGGCTCTTTGCCCCTCACTCCCCGCCCCTCCCGCCACACACACACACACACACACACACACACACACACACCCCTGAGAAGTGACCCTTCCCCACCCTGTCTACCTCTATTCTAGGAGGCACAGCCCATGAGTCCAGCCCAATCCTGGAAACTTGAGAAAACTTTGGAGGCCGCTGCTCAGAAAACCAGAAGTTGGTCAGAGCTTAGTTTGGCATACATTTTGTTCAGCAGAAAACATTATTCTGAGGTTTAAATTTCCTCTTTTAAATCCAGAGGTGCAATGTAGAAATGGACCCTGTGCTCATAAAAAGCAACGTGAAATTCGGTGTTAGAAGGAGGGCTCCACCTATTCGGGGCTGAGCAAGTGGTGAGCACAGAGGAGACTTTGTCTGCCGTCCTCCACCTTCACATCACAGAAACCTCTGTCACCCAACACAGAAGCTACCAACATCGTCACTTCTCTGGGGCTACTATCTCTATGAAATCCTCATGTCCTATCTAGAGAATAGATATTTATTATCTGAACAAGTGTTGGATACATGTCAAACACTTGTCCAGAGAATGAGGGAGAATATTCTGTGGGGTGTGTGACTGCATATGTATGAGCCTGTGGATGTTTGTGAGTGTGTGTATGAGTGAATGTGTGAGTGGGTGTGTATATGTGTAACTATATGTGAGTAGTAGTGTATGAACAGGTGTCTGTTGAGTGGATAACTATATCAAGTGGGTGTATGTCTGAGTATGTGAGTATGTGTGAGCGGGTGTGTGTGAGTGGGTGTGTGAATGTGACCATATGTGAGTCAGTATGTGTGTAATTGTGGACATATGTATGTGTGCGTCAGTGTGTGTGAATGTATGTGAATGTACGTGACTACATGTGAGTCAGTGTGTGTGACTATGAGTCAGGTGTGAGTATGAGTGTGGGTATGAATGAGTGTGTATGTGTGTGTAACAGTGCGTGACTGAGTGTATGTGTATGAACGTGTGACTGTGTATGTGAGAGGCTGTGTGTGTATGTGAAGGGATGTTAGGAAGGAGAAGAGGCATCAAGAGCAAGGGTATATATAGTTTTTATATTGCATTTTTATATGTAATATACCCATATATGTTTGGAGAGATCTGTGCTTACTATATTTATGTAATATTGCTATAATTTAAAAGTTTCTTATAACTTCTCAACTTCGATGCTCACTTAGGAAATGATCTGAATTGATTATTCATTGTCTGTTTAGTAGTGCTGTGGTCCATGGCATCTCCATAGACTAATGTATTCAATAGAATTTTTTGAAGGGATGGAAACTAACTTATACCATTGTGCAGATAAATCCCCCTGTATGAGCTCTGAGACAGATCTGAATATGTTGTCTGGCTATACCCAGTGAACCTCTGGTGGAAGGAGACTCCAATCCCAGGCGAGTGCAGGGGGTGGGGGCCACCCCTTGTGCCTCAGGGACCAAGCAGTGCTAGGGTCTAAATGCAGGACTCCAGAAGCATGTGAGCATAGAGCAAGTGCCTCAGCCTCACAGCTCCGTCAGTGGGTGCCCCACTAGTATTTTACCTCTTCCTTAAGGTGTTCATTGGGGCCAGGGATGAGCAAATATCCTGAGGTGACCCAGGTTCCAAGAACCAGAACTGGAATGAATGAATTTGTTTGTGCTGGTTAAAGTATTTAAAGTATCCTCAAGGGCTTCAGAGAGTTATTTCAATCTTCAAAAAGATATCACAGGCTCTCTCTGGGGCAGTGACAAGGCATTTGGTCTGTAGTATAAAGCCTCCTCTGGATTTGAAGAGCTCTTTCAAACAGAGAGAGAGTTTGGGCAATTCTAGGACAACTTTATTGAGAACGCCTGCTGTCAGACTATCCCAGGTTCAGTTTTTTTTCTTTTCTGGAGGCTTAGCTTTGGAGACTACATCTTAGATGTGATTAGGATTTAATCCTGACTCTGTGCTCAGGGTTCATTCCTGGTGGGTCTTGCACGATCGTACGGGGTGCCAAGGATTGAACCCAGCTCTGTTGCATGCAACTCATTGGGACTTAATGCAGGATTATTGCTTCTGCCTCAACTAGTTTCAGATCTTGTCTTTGTCATATACTGGTGGTAAACTAGTGGTTTCTAAGCCTCAATTTTCTCATGTGGAGAGAAAGAGATGGGTTCTAAAACTTAGCTCTGAGAGATGGTGTGGGAACTAAGTGCAGTAGACTATTAGACCGAGTCTGTGCTTGGCATGTCATGAACTCTCTGGAGTTATTCATTATTTCTGTCATTGCTGGTGGCATTCTTGCTTAAATTCTTACCTTATTATTATTTTTTCTGGGG